AAAGTCCAAAAGGAAGCATAGGAAATATTCTGATAATAGTGATGCGAATTCAGACTCCGACACTGATTCTAGCTCTGATGATGATAAAACGAAAGCCAAAAAAGCCAAGAAGAAGGAGAAGAAAAAGAAACACAGGGGTAAAAAAACCAAGAAGAATAAGAAGACTAAAAAAGAATCCAGTGACTCAAGCTTTAAAGATTCAGAAGGGGAGTTGCCGGAAGATACCTGGATTGGGCAGTCAGAGATTGCAGATACCATGGATCTGATAGGTCCAGAAGCACCTGTAATACACACCTCCCGAGATGACAAACCTTTGAACTATGGCCATGCTCTGCTCCCAGGTGAAGGTGCAGCAATGGCGGAGTATGTAAAAGCTGGAAAGCGAATCCCACGAAGAGGTGAAATTGGGCTGACAAGTGAAGAGATTGCTTCATTTGAATGCTCAGGTTATGTTATGAGTGGTAGCAGGCATCGTAGAATGGAGGCTGTACGACTGCGTAAAGAGAACCAGATCTACAGTGCTGATGAGAAGAGAGCCCTTGCATCCTTTAACCAGGAAGAGAGACGGAAGAGAGAGAATAAGATTCTAGCCAGTTTCCGAGAGATGGTGTACAGAAAGACAAAAGGGAAAGATGACAAGTAATGACTTTTTGTTGTTCAACAGGACTTTTAACCATTTTATATGACCAAATAGTGTGAAAAGACTTCATGGTGCTACTGTATCTACTATGTTAGAAAGTCCTTCAAGAAAAAGCTGCTGTTTGAGATCTCTTTAACAATTTATTTTGTTATTTTTAATTTAATATGTGCACATGGCTTAACAAATATTCAAGTACTACAGTTGGAGAGTTAATAAAAGGTCTTTCATCCTAGTCCCTGATTCTTCTCCTCAAAGAAATCTCTTCTTGATGTCTGTTATATCTGTTCATAAGTTCTGTGTATATACAAGCACGTTGCAGGTTAAAGGTTGGAGTTATTAACCTGAAGATTATTTTCCTGTTGAACCTGACCTCTCTCTCTCTCTCTTGAAGGGCTTCATGGAGCCCTTCATTTGCCCCTAGCAGGACCAGAAGAACCCCAGAAAGAACAAAGGATTCAAATGAGTGTATATTTCTGGTTGCAGTTAACAGATTGTGTTAAAAAATAAAGGAGATTTATTGGTTCGTGTAACTGAAAAGCCCTGCAGGAAAATGGGTTTCCTGCATGGCTTTATGGGACCTTAACTTGTTTCTCTCCATGGGTCACTTTCCTCCGTAGCCTGTTTTCCCTTAAATAACAAAAGGGTTGCCAAAGGTCCTGAGTTTGGTTATATACTTCCTGGTCCACCTCTGGGGAGAGAAAACATTTCTGTCTTGGCATTCCAAACAAGAATCCTGAGATGACCCTAATTGGATTAGCTTAGGTCACATGCCCACTCTCATAAAAGGTACTGTTGTCACGGAGATAGGCCTACTCCTGGAGCTGTGAGTATAGTCAATTTATAGGCTACATGGGGAAGAAGTGGATACCTGAATGAAAATCAGGGTAATGTTGGGAAGGTGTATAGGCAACCAACAAACGCCCACTATAGTTTTGAATGATTTCTAAAAAACACAGTACATGTGCTGAAAGCCAAAATTTTCTTGAAGCTTGCTTTTGACTATTAGGGAATACCTGGCTGAAGGGGACATAGGGTTTATCCATCAAAATAGATCTGAAAAGAAAAGATGAAGGTCCATTGTGCTTGGGTCTTCCAAAGAGTAGATTAGGTGCCACCTTAGACTAAGAGGAGAAAGAAAAAAAATGAGAAGGTATAAAGAATGAAGTTGGTGGAGTTCACGAAAAGATCAGATCAGGAGGGACCTCATGGACGACAAAGTTAGCATTGAAAGGCTGGCTAGCTCCAGTGTTAGAGAAGACTTTAGAGTGAGCTCCACTCATGGTCTATGATAAAGCCTTCATTGTCATCCAGTGACATCTGCCTGAATCCTAAGACTTCATTTCATCGCTAAGCAAACTATCTCATTTGAAAAGGGGACCCCCTTTTCAAGGCTCGAGACCCTACTAAGCCCCACAGAGCTGAGGGTGAAGGGGTGGGGTTCTAGAATCTCACAGGGCAGTATGAGGTGGAAGGGCACCTTCATCCTAGTAGATGACTTGATTGGCACTGGACCATACTACCTTGAGAATTTCCCCAGAGTATTGGGGAGCACTGGTAAAAGCCAATGTTACATATGTATATTTCTATCTTTAGAAACAAACCATACCACATTTCACCCATGAACTTACACCTTGCTTTTTTCACTTAATACATCTTGGAGATGTTTTAATCAATGCATATAAATACACCTTATTCTCTTTAATGACTTTACAATGTTCTATTGAATGAAAGGACCACATTTTATTGGATGTTTAAGATGTTTCCTGTATTTTGCAATTACACTGTACTGAAGTGAAAATCTTTGTGGATATGTGAGAATATTATCTGTAACATTCTCATCTAGAAATAGAATTCTTGGGTCAAAAAGAATTCTTTGGATCATCTAAAAATGGCCACCTATAAGTGGAGTTCTTGGATTAAATGGAAAATATTTATTAGGTGCTTTTTATATGCTAGGCACTATGGCAGGTACTGGATATAAACCAGAGAGCAAGTTAAGTTTGATCCTTGCCATCACAACAGAATTTTACATTCTACTGGAGGAGACAGACCTTTAAAAACTACCAGACAAATATGTATTAATTGCGGCATGCTGTGAAGAAAATAAGGGACTAGAGACAATAATAGAGGGAGGTTTTTGATAGGGTGGTCAGGAAAAATCTAAGAATGTCACATGTTCTATGTGCTTTTACATTTTAATAGATTTTGCAACATTGCTTTGTAAATAAGATGTACCAGTTTACACACCTACATCACCAACAATATTGTACTTCTAAACCTTTTGATCTTTGCCAATCTAATAGGTGAAAAATGGCGTTTCATTTTTTTCTTAGAGAGAGAGAGCATGAGCGGGTCTGGGGGAGGGGGGAGGGAGAGGGAGAGACAGTCTTAAGCAGACTCCCCACTGGGTGCAGGGCCCAACACGGGGCTCAATCTTACAACCCTGAGATCATGACCTGAGCTGAAATCAAGAGTCAGATGCTTAACCAACTAAGCCACCCAGGTGCCCCTCGGATTTTTCTTTATTAGTTTATTCATATGATGGTTTAAAGTTACAGATTTCCTAATATAAAACTATGGGTTAAGTTTATTGGACTCATTTGTAGGTTTTTTATTGTTTAGAGCAATCACTGGTCACATAATTTTCTATTTAAAATTCAGAATAATGAATAATATTTTGCTGAATATGTGGAAGCCGAGAGAAAAGCAGAAAGCATCATTACGAAAAGATAAGAACTGCTATCTTATGCTATAGCATGGTAGCATGACTTGTAATGCAATAGGGCCTCTACAGATCCTATAGAAGAAGAAGCTTTCATTTTGAATATCTTAAGAATGGACCTGATGGAAACATACGGACCACCATTTTGTTTACAAAAATAAGGATAATCCTGAAAAATGATAATCTCAAATTTGAAAATTGATTTTTAAAATTAGCAACATGTAGTCTGTCCTGTAAGATAGCATCTTTATTAATTCTTATCTACCTCTACCCCTTCCAAAAGATAGACTACTTAAATTAAAAATGCAGACCTTGAATTTTTTTTAAAACTCTGCTTTGTTTAACTACATTTTGATTTTCTTTTTAAAGATTTTATTTATTTGACAGAGAGAGAGACAGCAAGAGAGGGAACACAAGCAGGGGCAATGGGAGAGGGAGAAGCAGGCTCTCTGCCAAGCAGGGAGCCCGATGCTGGGGGACCCTGGGATCATGACCTGAGTAGAAGGCAGACGCTTAATGACTGAGCCACCCAGGCGCCCCTACATTTTGATTTTCATGGGTTATTCAATATAATGCCAATCTAAGCCTTGATACTATGAGTGACGTTTAAGAAGCCAGCCATGGTAGAGAGTTTGAAAGGGGCAGTAAATTAAGATATATTTACTTCCTTTTTAAATTTTATGTCTATCTCTTACATAATTTTCAAAAAATATATAAGCCCTTCTTTAGAAAGAAAGAAAATCAGACATATGAGTTTTCTGTCAAAAAAAAAAGTTAACTTCTAATTAGTAAAGTATTTGCATTGACTGCATTTGTTTGCCTAAGGAAGTTTTAAGGTGAATATATTTAATTGGTATTTCTAAAAGATACTTCCAAGCTTCTGGCACCCAAGGAGGAGATGTTAACTCTCCTTGTTGTCATGAAACACGTTTTTTTCTTTTGCTGTGATAATTTCAATGCTGAAAACACTGAATAAATTACCTGTCATAAAATAATGATTAGTATATTTAATGATATTTCAAAACTATCAACTAATTAAACAGAAGTTGTTTAGATTTTTAAAAGGATTTATTTTATTCAAAGACTAAAAAACAGTTTTTGGTAAGGTGAATAAGAAGGAATATTTCTCTTTTCTTCTGTAGAATTATTTTTGTAAAGTGATATCTGATGTTTTTTTCCCCCTAAAACCTACATTCTCTGCAAAGTATTGCTGATTATACTTTTGTAGTAATCTACTTAATTTTTCATTACCTTAAATATTTCAATACAAATATATTTTCATTGTTCAATTTAATCTTCAGTTCTTTGATACTACGAAAAAAAAGGAAAAAAACGCCGATACGGTGACATTTATTTTTGCCGTTGTGTTTGACGACTTTTTAAATTGGGGAGAAATGGGAAGGTACGTGTCTGTGTTTAATTTGTGAGTGAGCAAAGTAGAAATGCCGGCTGTTCACGGTAACAGTTAACCGAGCGGGCCTGCTTTCCCTTAATAAAACCAACTTCGGCGTGCAGACGAGGGCCGCCCGCGCTCGCCCCTGCGCGCCGCCAGTGGGCGGAGCTCCGCCCCCTGCCGCGCGCCGGAAGCCGGACACCATCGAGCCGCGGTCCTCCCGCGTGCCTAGAGCGGAGGCGACGGTGCGCTGCGGAGCGGGCGTTGGCGCTGGGCGAGGATCCCGGGCCGCGCTGGAGCCCGCCGGGCTGGCCCTGAGGGTCGGTGCTGGGTGCGTGGTGTGTGCGCTCCGTCTGGGAAGGCCCTGCAGACCCGGGCTGGGGAGCGGCTGGTGTCCTAGGTGCAGAGAAGCTTTCTGCGACGGAGGGCCCGCAGGCCGGGTAGGGGGCCGGGGGCGTCCCGGAGCTGCGGATCTGCTGACCTGGGCCCAACTTAGGCTGCACTTGTTTCGTCCGCTGAGCGCAATTTTAAACAGGTGTTGAAGGTAAGCCTTAGAACGTAGTGCTTGAGCAGAAACCTGAAGAACATGAAAAGCCCTGTGTGGCCTTTGGGGGCACGCGCTTTCAGGCAGAGGGAACAGCAAGTGCATTCTCGAGGAATAGCAAGGAGACCGGGATGTAGACGCGACCGTAATGAACGGGGGCGGGGTGTGTAGAGGACGGTATCGAGAGGCTGGGGAGCGGGAGGAGGTGTTTATTGTGGAAGTAATTTGGTCGTTTCTTGGTGTGAAGAATTTTTGGACGATTTTAAGCAGAGGGAAAACATGATCTGATTTATGTTTTAAAGCATCTATAGCCGGGAACTCACGGTGAGATAAGACCGTAAGGCCCCGAGAATGGAATCAGGGAAACTATTGCAAGTAATTCAGGTAGGAGATGCGGCTATCTTGAACTTGTGTTATGGTAGAAGTGGTTAGTCGTGGTCAGATTAATGATCTACCTGGAAGGCGGAGCCAGCAGTCTTTGCTGTTGGATCAGATGTGGATTATGAGAGAGAGAAGGCAAAGTTAAGTCCGAGGGTTTAAGAGCTCTTGGAGGAAAGGTCTGAGGTTGAGCTTTGGGATCTTGTGTAAGTTATTAAACTCTCCATGTCTCAGTATCCTTCTCTGTGCAATGAAGTTGGCAACTGTGTCTTGATACAGTTGTGTGAAGATTAAACGCATTAATACTCATAAAATACATAAAACAGTTGTGTTGGCTTATTGTTTTATTATGCTGAGACATGAAGGGTATATGGGCACTAATGAGAAAAAAAATTGGTGAGTTGAAGAGTGTTCGATGTGGAAGGACCCAGGAACAGGAAAGAGTATCATGAATTTGAGGAACTGAAAGTTCATTAGCTCATAAGAAAATTTTAAGCCATATTAGATGTCTTTAACTTGATACTAAGGGTAGTGATGAGTCACTAAATGCAGTAAATGCACAGCAGAGATACAGTCCTATCTTCTCTTTAGAAATATCACTGTTTGCAGTGTGGGAAATAGATTGGTGAGTCAGAAAGATCAGTCACAGTAGTCTGGATAGGAGGAGATGGTGGCAAGGGGGATGAAGAGGAGAGAATAGATTTGAGAGCTATTTAGGCAGAATCAATAGATCTTGATTGATCTGATGCACAAGATGTGAAAGTAGGCTGGAAGGGTCCATTTATCATATTATTTATTATATATTGTGTTTGATGCATTTAGTCATGTCATAGAAATGACCACCACTAATTCAGCAACATATGCTATGTATCTGTATTAGAGTTCTCCAGAGAAGCAGAACTGGTAGGAAATACATAGACATAGACACGTAGGGACAGATTAATTATGAGGAATTGGCTCATGAAATTACAGAACTGGCAAGTCCCCAAGATCTGCAGGGTGAGTCAGTGAGCTGGAGACCCAGGAGAGCCGATGGTTTAGTTCCATTCTGAGTCCGAAGGCCTGAGAACCGGGAGATCCGATGGTGCAGGGACAGTAGGAAGTAGAAGGCCAGCAGTCTCGAGATCCAGGAAGAGCTGATGTTTCCATTTGAGTCCGAAGGCAGGAAAAAAGCTGATGTCCCCGTGTGACGGCAGTCAAGCAGGGAGAATTCTCTTACTTGGGGGAGAGTCAGCCTTTTTGTTCTATTGAGACCTTCAACTGATTGGACGAAGCCCACCTACATTATAGAGGGCGTCTGTTTTACTCAGTCCACTGATGTAAATGTTACTCTCATCCCAAAACACACTCACAGAAACCCCCAGAATAATGTTTGACCAAATATCTAGGCACCCCATAATCAGGTGTTCACATAAAATTAACTGTTGCAATACCAAACTTTTATTTCTGGTTAATAATCATCACTTTCTTTGACTTTTTCATTTCTATTAAGAACAGTAGGATTTGGGGCGCCTGGGTGGCTCAGTCGTTAAGCGTCTGCCTTCGGCTCAGGTCATGATCCCAGGCTCCTGGGATCGAGCCCCTCATCAGGCTCTCTGCTCGGCGGGAAGCCTGCTTCTCCCACTCCCACTCCCCCTGCTTGTGTTCCCTCTCTCGCTATCTCTCTCTCTGTCAAATAAATAAATAAAATCTTTAAAAAAAACCAGTAGGATTTGACTTTTTAAATTTTAAGTCCATTTTTCGACCAATATATATATATGTATTTGGTGGGAGTTACCATCCACATCCAGGACTGTATAACAGCAAACTGTATTTGGAGCCCAACCAGGTTTTATAGTGTTTTTAAACCCAAGAGCCAATTTTCACAATTAATTTAGGTGTCTGTTTAATCCAGAACAATACCTCTTTTTATTTTTGTGAAATTGACTGTTGTAGATGAGCTGCATTCAGGATTTATCTGAAAGTCTCCTCATTATTAGATTCATATGAAACATTTAGTAAAAATGCTGCGTAAGTGATAAGGCACAAGGTCAGTTGTCTGACTGTTGGTGTTGCTGGGCTTGATCATTTAAGTTTGTGGCTTCCAGATGTCTCCATTGTTTTTTTGTAATTAATAAGCAGTCAGCATGGTGGTTCTTGGAGACTGTGAGAGTGTCCTTTCTCCCCACTCCTTTTGCCCAGTGACTTTACCCATTTGTGGTCTTTGGTTCAATTAGTTATTTCATCAAGCTGCAAAATGGTGATCTTTTCAGATTTATTATTCCTGCTCTGTCAGCTGGCAATCTTGTGTAGAACAAAGTTTTCTTATTTTGTATGTGTGTTCTGTTTTTAGGAATGGTTGTTTTGGAGGGAAAGAAATTGATAGTAATTATTGGAATTGTATGAACCCAGCAAAGGTGTATTGCTGTGGTTACTGTTACTACTACAGCTACTGTTTCTGTGATTCTTTTTTTTTTGGTAAAGATTTATTTATTTATTTGAGATTGGGGGGAAGGGGAGAGGCAGAGGGAAAGGGAGAAGCAGACTCCCCACTGAGCAGGGCACCCGATGCGGGACTTGATCCCAGGACCCTGGGATCATGACCTGAGCCGAAGGCAGACACTTAACCAACTGAGCCACCTGTTTCTGTGATTCTTGTTTTCACATTTTCAGGAGGAGACCGTGGAAAGGAAGTTCTCCAGGGCAGAGAGCGCAAGCCGGCTGACGCTGGGGATGGCGACAGCACTGGCTAATGCGCATTCCCCAGCTCCTCTGAATCTGAAGAAGGAGGGGCTTCGGATAGTGAAGGAGGATCCCTGCTCTACTTGGGAACAGGGATTCAAGCTGCCAGGAAACAGCACCGGCCTTGGACAAGAACCGCTGTGCAAACAGTTCAGGCAGTTGCGATATGAAGAGACCACAGGACCCCGCGAGGCACTGAGCCGGCTCCGGGAGCTCTGCCGACGCTGGCTGCAGCCCGAGACGCACAGCAAGGAGCAGATCGTGGAGCTGCTGGTGCTGGAGCAGTTCCTGACCATCCTGCCCGAGGAGCTGCAGGCCCGGGTGCGGGAGCACCACCCGGAGAGCGGCGAGCAGGTGGTGACTGTGCTGGAGGATTTGCAGCCAGAGCTTGGAGAAGCAGGACAACATGTGGTAAGGAGCAGATTCGTTCTTTTGCCGAAAAGCAGGAGCTGAGACCTTGGGCCGGAGAGGTGGGCATGAGCTCAGTAGCAGGAGAACTGCTAAGCTTTGGTTCGGTTTCTTTCCAGTCTGGCCGCTCGAAGCTGTAGGTCAGCCTCCCCTGCTGTCCGCTGGGATGAACTGAACGTGCTGATTCCCCAGCTGCTTTTCTCCACCCCCCCGACACCTGGTTTCTCTACTCCTTCCTCACGTGGAAGTGTTTCCTGAACAGTTTCCGCCTAAGCCCACATGTCCCTAACTGTGCCTACATAACCGTCCCTAGGGCCCAGACCAGGCAAAGAAGCAGAAGATGCTCGCAGCGCGGGAGCCGCAGGTCCAGGCTGAGCGTGACATCCCAAAGCCTGAAGAAGAGAAGGGTAAGAAACAGCTGCATCTTCTCACGTGGGACAGCTTTGGCGTCCCCTCCGGCGGCCCAGCTTTTGTGTTTGTTTTGAGTCGGGTTTATTGAGGTATAATCTACACACAGTAGAAATCACTCTGTAAGTGTCCGGGTCAGTGAGTTTTCACAAATGTGACAAAACTCAGTCTTCTAATCACCGCCACAATCTGGATCTGGAGGATTACTATCACCCCAAACATTTCCCCCCATCCTTTCCTTGGTGTTTCTGTTCAGCAGAAACCAAAGGCCTCTCCTGTGCCACCCTTCATCTCCTCCTTCCAGCTACCATGGGGGTGAATAAACAAGGTTCGCTGGTTTCTCACCCGAGGCGAAGAACCCCAGCCACGTGGGCCAGTGCTCATTTTTTCTTGTCTCCTTCAAGTTGTTGTAGTATTATTACTGTCCTTTCTTTCTAAATGTCACCTAGAGGGCGCCTGGGTGGCTCAGTTGGTTAAGCGACTGCCTTCGGCTCAGGTCATGATCCTGGAGTCCCGGGATCGAGTCCCTCATCGGGCTCCCTGCTTAGCGGGGAGTCTGCTTCTCCCTCTGACCCTCCTCCCTCTCGTGCTCTCTCTCATTCTCTCTCTCGCAAAAAAATAAAAATAAAAAAATAAATATCACCTAGATTGGTTTTTCACTGTATTTTCTTTGTCACTGAAATTCCTCTTTGTTGTTTCTGTCCCTTACATTTTTTTTTAAAGATTTTATTTATTTATTTGAGAGAGCGCATGCGAGAGCATGAGCAGCGTGAGGAGCAGGGGGAGAAGCAGGCTTCCCATTGAGCAGGGAGCCCGATGCGGGGCTCGATCCCAGGACCCCAGGATCATGACCTGAGCCAAAGGCAGGTGCTTCACCGACTGAGCCACCCACGCGCCCCATCATGGGCTTATATTTTAAATATGACAAGTAAATATAGTCACGGTAGATCCGTGACACTGTCCCTTGCCCTCCCAGTCTGTTGAAAATGCTGTTTTACACTCCAAAGTTTAGGTCGTTTTCCGGTTTCGGAGCTGCCCCTGCTTTTTAGTTGTTTATGTCATTAGATCATTGCTGGAAAAGGATCTCACTTTAAGGCCTCCCTCCCCTGTGCGTGGCTGCAGGAAGATGTGCACAAGGTGCCTCGCACCGGATTCGCTGTCTCTGGCTTCTCCTTGCGAGTCCTCCACTGTTTCCTTTGGCTCTCATGTGCTCTCCCTTTGCAGTTGATCTGCTGCCTTTATGTGGCTCACAGTCATGAACTTGCACTAGCTTGTTATTGGTGCTGCTGAGGACCTCTCTCTCCTGCTTTCTGTCTCATTCCAACTTTGCGTCCTCATTCAGGTTCCTGGCCTTGGAAGGCCCATTCTACTCACCTACCTGTGCCTGTGTGTCTGAGCTTGGGTTTTATTCATCAGACATTGCTTACGCTCTTTCACGTACCAGACATATGAGCAAATTATTACAACATCAAGATACTTGGTATCTGTTGAGCCACACAGGAAAGCAACTGCTGCTGTCCAAGGAGATCAGGACAGTTCAAGTCATTTTTGTGAACTTCATGTTACCCTTGAGGGTAAAACCCAGTAGTTTTGATCTGTTGGTGAGGACAGTGAGCCCAGAGGGTTTAGATTACACAGCCAGTCAGTGATAAAATGGGCTCTGTGTCTGCATTTCTTCATTTCCAGTACGTTCTCTTTCTTATTGGCCCCAGGGCCCTCAGTTGACCTTGCTTTTTTATACTCCAGCTGACAAACCATTTTCAAGAATGTACAGCCATGCCCTTTGAGACTGTTTGCTTGCTTGCTAACTTTGTGTGCTGTGTGTATGTCACATGATCAAGTTCAAACCATTTAAGATAAGCTGCCTCCTGCCACAGTCCCCATCCTCCCCCAAGCAGCCACTGTTAACAATTTCTTGTGTACCATTGCGTGTATATTCTGTGCAGATGCAAGCATCCACAACATTTCCACTTGGCACACATGGCTTGATTTAAATTTATTCCTCCTAATTGCAGATTCCCTTCCCTAAGCATCAAAAAACAAGTAATTGGTAGTATATATTTAATGTTTCAGGTGAGGAGACAAAGATTGAGAATGGGAAGACGGTGGTAGAGACAGATTTTTGTGGAGGAGTGGAATCATCTGGGAAAGTATCTGAACCCATAGAACCTCGTCATGAGGACCCTAACTTGGAAGGGCAGCAGGTCAAGCCCAAGGAGAAGACTGAATATAAATGCTCAGACTGTGGGGAGGGATTCACCCAGTGCTCAGACCTGATTAGACACGAAGGGACACACACACAAGGGAAGCTCTGTGAATCTGAGGCTTGTCAGAGTCCTAGTCCTACTGCACATCAGAAAATCCGCTCTAGAGAGAAAGGTCATCAGTGTCACGAGTGTGGGAAAGCCTTTCAGAGAAGTTCACACCTTGTCAGGCACCAGAAAATCCATCTTGGAGAGAAGCCTTACCAGTGCAAAGAGTGTGGAAAGGTCTTTAGCCAGAATGCAGGCCTTTTGGAACACCTCAGAATCCATACTGGAGAGAAACCTTACCTGTGCATCCATTGTGGGAAGAACTTCAGGCGCAGCTCCCACCTCAACCGACACCAGAGAATTCACAGCCAGGAGGAGCCCTGTGAGTGCAAGGAGTGTGGGAAGACCTTCAGTCAGGCCCTTTTCCTCACCCACCACCAGAGAATCCACAGCCACTCCAGAAGCCATCGCTGTAACGAGTGCGGGAAAGCCTTCAGTTTGACTTCGGACCTTATTCGCCATCACAGGATTCATACTGGAGAAAAGCCTTTTAAGTGTGCCATATGCCAGAAAGCCTTCCGACTGAACTCCCACCTGGCTCAGCATGTGAGAATCCACAACGAAGAAAAACCCTATGAGTGTAATGAATGTGGCGAAGCCTTCAGGCAGAGGTCGGGTCTTTTTCAGCATCAGAGATATCACCACAAACACAGTCTGGCTTGATGGGGCATCCTCTCTGCAAGGAACATGACGGACAGTATGTTGACAAGCAAACAGCACTTTAGGAAGAGTCACTCCAGCCAATTCTAGCTTCAGAGAACTCCAGGGGGCCAAGCGGGAGGCTCTTGTCCCTTCACTTGTGCTCAGCCTTGGACCAGAATGATTTGATCCTCGATGGGACTGTGGGAACAAGCAAAGCAACATTCTTCACTGCAGGACTTCTCTGAGCCTTTAACATGGTAAATGCATGATTGCACACCTCCCAAGTAGTAGAGAGCCTCATGAGTGAGGGCTTTGAAGTCAGCAGTGAGTCAGTCAAGTATCCACGGATTTATAGGCTTGAACAGAACAAGAGCAGGTCAGTATTTTTGCATCTGCTACAGCAACAGCTATAAAATAAAACTAATGATGTTTGGAAATACACCACTCTCAAAGTGCAGGTTAATGGTGGGCATTTTCCCCCACTGGTTTTACTAACCAACCCCTACTGGCATCCCCCCCACTTTCTCCACCCCCAGTCAGCAGAAGCATTTTGGAAAGCAAAGAAAATTTAATTTGACCACTTCCCACCCCATTCTTGCCATAATACTTCACTGATTCAAGTTGGAAATCAAGGTTTTACTTAAAGTGTGGAAGACATTTCATAAGTCATTTGAATGAATTCAGGTAGCAGCTGTCTTACTTGATAACTCCGGTGCCGGGATAGTTGGCTCCTGCATAGACACTGTTTAGTAAGTGGGGAAAGAAATTAGACTTTTTCCATTTAATACTGATAATGCAATTTTATTTTATTTTTCATAGATTTTATTTATTTGAGAGAGAGAGCATGAGCAGGGGGGAGGGCGGAGGGAGAGAAGCACACTCTCTGCTGAGCATGGAGCCTGACACAGGGCTCGATCCCAGGACCCTGAGATCATGACCTGAACCGGAATCAAGAGTCAGATGCTTAACCAACTGAGCCACCTAGATGCCCCTGATAATGTAATTTTAAAATGTTGCTTGTTCTGGAGTTCTTTGGAAGTCAATAAAGTCAGCTGGGAGGAGATCACGATTTTATACTGTGAATACCAAAATGTCATGGTAATGATGAAGAGTATTGTGCTTAGGGGAGTCCGCTCCTGATTGTTAGTAGCTGAATAGGGTATTGTGTCTGGAAAAAGTGTCTCAGTCTGCCACGAGAATGAACCCTCGTGTATTGTTGAGGGTTTGGTGCATCTGCATATAGTTTAGAAACAAACGAGGAGTGACTTCACAAAAGCTTGTTTTTCTCTCAGGTAGAAAAATCTGGAGACATGCAGTCCAGGACTGATAAAGTGGTTCCATGACACCACTAGGGACCCTGCTTCTGCTTTTCTGCTCCAACATCCTAGTGCACACTATCAGTCCTGAGGTTGTCACATGATGCTTGGTAGCTGCTGAAGCTCCAGCCATCACATGCAAAGTGCAGACGGAGGCAGAAGGAGAAAGATGCCTCCCAGCTCAGCCAACCCTCTGTGAGCAGCCTCCCAGAAGTCCCTTCCACACACATGCTGCAGGCCAAAACTTGGGAAAGGCAGTCTGGAGAGTGTGTCTTGTTGTGGTTTGCGGAGTGCCCAGCCAAAGCAGCTTCTGTCACTAGGAAGAAAGGGGAGCGTGAAGGCTGGAACAGGCACTTTGCAGTCTTTGACCCACTTCCCACCTGCTGCGTGCGGTGGGACCAGGTGCCACCGTTAACACCATTTCCTGGAGGAGGACCAAGTCTGTGGGAGAAGCAGTGCAACCTTTTGTGGCATCAAAGAATTTCATGGAAACAGTCATGCTGCATTCCTTAGGAAGTCGTAAAGCTATCTGTCTTTCAATCTGCCGATGAATAAAATTAAGTTGATATCAGGGATTTTCTCCCAAGTGTTTTGACAGCTGTGCTGAGGGCAGTACCTAGGCATTCAGCTCTGTGTCATAGTTTAAATCTATTTGATTCTGTTCTGTTTTAGAAGGAAAGAACAGAGAATGTCTGTTTCCCTCTCCGTTAAGAAGGAAAAAACGGGCGCCTGGGTGGCTCAGTCGTTGAGCGTCTGCCTTCCGCTCGGGTCGTGGCCCCAGGGTGCTGGGATCGAGCCCCGTGTCCGGCTCCCTGCTCGGCGGGGAGCCTGCTCTCCCTCTCCC